AAAAAAAAAAAAAAATATGGTAGTAGACTATGCAAGAAGTAGAAAGAAAAGATAGCCTAAAAGAACAACTTCATTTGCAACTTTCCAAGTTTTTGTTTTTTTTTTTTTGAGACAGAGTCTCACTATGTCGCCCTTGGTAGAGTGCTATGGCATCACAGCTCACAGCAACCTACAACTCTTGGGCTTAAGTGATTCTCTCGCCTCAGCCTCCAAAGTAGCTGGTACCTCAGTCGCCCACCACAACGCCTGCCTATTTTTTGTTGCAGCTGTTGTTTAGCTGACCCGCACTGGGTTTGAATCCCCCACCCTCAGTGCATGTGGCTGGTGCTGTAACCACTGTGCTATGAGCACCGAGCCTTTTCCAGTTTTATTAATGGCACCACAAAAATTCCTCATGTTGCATTCATTTAATCTGGTAGAATCTAATTTCCACATTGTCTCTTATATCCATAACCTTTCATTTATTCTACCAAAGCTCTTAGTGCCTTTTGTCTAGCTCCTTACCACTTCCAGACTCTTCCTTGCTGTATAGTTAGTTCTTCATTGCCTAATTAATTAAAATTTAAAAATCTTTAGTCTAGAATTCTTGACTTTTCATATTACTGCTGTAGTTTCTCTTTCCAAGCTAGATACAAGTGCTTAGAAAAAAATAATGGTTGTAGTCATTTCTTTGGTTTGTAAAACTGCTTAGCTTAAGTCTGGGAGATGGTTATTGACAGAACCAGAATGTGATTCTGGGGTCATTGAATACCATTCTCACAGTTCCTTTAAATGTATTCCACCAGTCACTTCCATGAGCTTTAGGAATCCTTCTGGCTCATTATGAGTCCTCACAGAATAGCCATGTTTATCAAATTTAGGATTCCCAAGTTTGAACACCTACAAGAGTCAAACAGATGATTTACTGGGTAAGACGTGCTGAGTTTAGGCAATGAGTGGTAAGGATGTGGCAGATGAAGAGGGCTCACCCTTTCTAAAGGAGGCAGGCAGCTTCTACTCGGCTTGTGCCAATTATTGCTATGTATTAAAACCAATTCTGTGTTGCCAGATCTCTTCCTCCCCCCAAGATAAACAAGAGAGCTGTATTTCTTTGCAAAATTTTCTGACTTTCAGTACATCATACTAGTCAAACCAAATTGTGTATTCTTGTTGAGATATGTATGATATCTATTAGGACTACAAAGTGAAATTTTACTCTCAGAGGTAGGTAAATCCATCTTAACCAAAAAATACCTAAATTTGTTCTAAATTACCATTTTTTTACTAAATTCTTCATATCAGTTATATTATGTTAGAAACTGCTATTCTCTAACAACTGTTTGGTTTAAAATGGTTATACATTTTTCGGCTTGGCGCCTGTAGCACAGTGGTTATGGCACCAGCCATATATACCAAGGCTGGCAGGTTTGAATCCAGCCTGGGCCAGCTAAAACAACAATGACAACTGCAACAGAAAAATAGCTGGGTGTTGTGGCGGGCACCTGTAGTCCCAGCTATTGGGAGGCTGAGGCAAGAGAATTGCTTAAGCCCAAGAGTTTGAGGTTGCTGTGAGCTGTGACACCTCAGCACTCTACCGAGGGCAACATAATGAGACTCTGTCTCTAAATAAATAAATAAATAATTAAATAAAATGGTTACACATTTTTAAGTTGTAGTATCCCTGACTTACAATGTATTTCTTTACTGATTCTTCTTTAATATTTTGAAACAGTAATTGAATGACAGACTCCTCAGGACCAATATACTCATTTGTATTTTCAAGAACATGAATATTTACTTTTCAAAGTAATAGAATATTTAAAAATTATTTGATCTAGTATTTTTCTCTGTAAGAGTAACATTTAAAATCATATCTTCTGTAGACTATAAGCTTAATGCAAAGTGTTTATTACTTATTCAGCAAACATGAAGTGCTTACTATGTGATAGTCATTATGATGATAAAAAGATAAATAAAGTAAAACTCTGGTTTCTTTAGACAAGAGAATGATACTAACTTTTTCTTTGCTTAGTTAAATTCATTAACTTTTAATGAATTATGCAGAGATATAATTACTTTTTTTAATAGCTAGCATTTCTGTGTAAGTACTTTAGTTGATGAGCTTAAAATATTTTAGTGATTATCAATACTTGTAGCAAAAAATGCCAAGTAAAGAAAAGCAATTAAGAAACTATTATTTTTAGGAATTTGTTAAGAAGTTAGATTTTCTTACAAAAATTAAGTTTATATGAAAGCATATTTACTCATGATTTCTGTCTCCTTGTAGGTAATTAAGAACATGTTCTTTACATCATATATGGATTATTTTTGATAGAGAATAAATCTGAATAGACAACTAAAACTGTTACATTGTAATGTAGGTGTTTAAAATAATGTACTTAACATTTTTAGGATTAACAGTTGTTCTCAGGACTTTGAGAAGACTGCTCATCAGCTAACTATTGGGTTAGAACATTCAACCTCCACACATAGGACTGTTTCGAACTCATCAGCTGTCATGTCGGTATGAAACAAGTTGATGATGAAGTATGATGAAGCCAAATGACTTCATCTGTGGTAGCTTAGCTTTCTTCTCCTCTCCAGGTCCCTATAATTATAGATTCCTTTGGAAGCTTGTAACAGAAATAAACCTGACTCTCTTGTTTTGCTCTACACTTGAACTCTTTTATTCCTAAGGCAATATGTTCTACCTTTGACCAACTCTCTTTCAAGTTTTTGGTATTTACTTGTAAGTAGTTACTTGTATGTAGCTTCTTTGCTTTGAACCTAGTTGCTGAATCCAATCCAAATCCTTTGAAACATGTATAAAGTACAAATTTCCAAATTCTAAGTGCGATTTTCCAGTTACTTTAACAGCTCCCAAAAGGCCTAACTGAATTTGTTTTTGATAATGATATTGTTATTGGAGATTGAATTTTCCTTTTGCTACTCTTGATGACTTCAAACAATGTGATGTTTTAACTTGAGATGAGAAATACAGGTGTCCCAAAAGGAGCCTTACATAGGGGAAAATGGGAAATTGTAGCTAAATGTACCTTTATTTATGAAATATTAATTACAGAATTTTACAAAGAGGTGGCCAACATGTAGAGAATATTTTGTAAAATTTTGTAATGGATATTTTGTAAATAAAGGTACACTTATCTGCAATTTTCCATTTTAGAACAAGCTTCCAAATAGTGTTAAGTATTAAGTTATTTTGTTAAGATCATAGAGTCTTAGTGGGTTGGAGAAGGGGAAAGAGCATTTTAATCTTGCTGTCTTTTCCTTCAAGTTTAAATCTTTTTTTTTTTTTTTTTTTTTTT